GTGCGCGCGCGCCGTCCTGCAGCGTCGCCGGCCGCAGGCCAAGGAGCTCGGCTCCTCGAGAGCACCGACGGACGACGATCGGCTCCTCAGCAGTGGGACGCCGAGCTGGAGGCTCGGCCCGGAGCTCGCGCGGGCACGTGGAGCTTTCCGCTCGGGCCAGCAGGAAACGGGCGCCCCGCACAGCGACGCCCGCCGTAGAGTGCCGAGAGCTCGGCTCGACGCGAGCGCCGAGGAAAAGCGATCGGCTCCGCAGCAGTGGGAAACCGAGCTGGAGGCTCGGGCGGGAGCTCGCGCGAGCACATAGCGAGGTGCGTGCGCGGCGGCGTGACACAGGTGAGCGGGCAGCTGGCGCACATTTCGACTGTGGGAGCTGCCAGGAGTTTGCTCTCTCCGTTCACACCCCTTTGCAGAATCAGCCAAATCGGCAAAATACCGGGTATTTTTGCGGGTATACCTGGAAAACCCCGGGTATACCTGGAAAATATCCTGCGACCGCCTGGGTATCGTGCCGATTTCCTCAATTTTGCGTCAGATTTTGCCCCAGACCAGCTCTCAGACTCAGGGAAACTCGCGAGTTTCCAGAATGGAGCACCAAACACCCTCTGTTTTCCCTGGAAATTTCCGGAAACGCAAAGTGCTGGGGACCCTCTGTTTTCCTTTTTGTTTGCAGGAAAAGCTTGTGCAGGCCAAAGGCTCCCCCACCCAAGAATTTTACAAGAACAACTCTCTCTCTCACACAGCAGACAGGCTCGACACAGGTGCGGACTGGCGCGTGCTAGCACTAACACAGAAAGAAAGAAAGAAAACAGACCACCCAAGGGAGGGATGGGAGGACCTAACACGGCAAACCAAGAAAGCGGGGGGGCGGCCAGCGGATCCCGGGTCCCCAAAAAGTTTTGTTTCGTGGAACCCCCACGGGAGTGCGGGTCAGGAGGCCCTAACGGCGGGAGGGGTAGGGGTGCCGCTGTAGGGGTGTGGAGGGGTCGGGAGGGCGGGAGTTTGGACCGTGACCTAAAGCCCTCCACCGGCCGGTAGAGGTGTCAGGCGGCAGGGCCCAGGAGGGGTGGGGGCTTGGAGGGCTGGCCAAAAGCGAGGCGTAGGAGGGGTCCAGTGGGCTAGAGAGCCCCCGGGATTCCCCAGGGTTCCACTTTTGCATTCATGAAGTGAGCTGGCGAGGAACTCCCAACGCCTCACGGGGTCCCCCGGGGGGGCGAGGGAACCCGAGATGCTGGGGCGAGCCTTGGCGAGACTGCGTCAGCGGCTCCCACAGCACTCAGCAGGCTGGAAGTACCTCGCCAGAATGTGATGTGAAGAAAAAGATTTCTACTGCAAAACTCTCTGAACACCGGGTACGGGACTGGCGCGCACTGGCACTAACACAGGTACACCTGTCCTCCCCGTGCGACCCAAGTTCGTTAGTACCACAAAAAAGAAAAAGACGTCGGGTCGGCCAGCTCGTTCCGAGGAGCCAAGTCCCAAGAGCAACCGACCGTCGGCAAAAAGAATTTGCGCCGGCGCGCCCGCCATGATTTGGCGCGGCGCGCCTACCAGCGGCAGTTGTCGAGGCACGGGAACGCTTACCCGGGGTCATCCTCTTGAGCCTGGTCGTCGCACGTCGCTCGTCGGCGCCGCGATGCCACGGTGGCGCATTCGACGTCGTCGGCGCGCTGCCCCGCGTTGACCCCGCCGCTCGTAGCGACGGCCGCAGGCCGGCCCACAGCGCGCCCTGGGTTCGGACTTTTTGCGGGGTATGGTATGGTACTCTCGCGCAACCCACCTCGAGACCATACCCCCCCCGCCTGCTGACAGACCCAGCCTCCCGGAGACCGGGGATGGGCGGTCAGGACCATACCCCCCCACCCTTTGGGCCGCGAGGGTACCATACCATACCCCGCAAAAAGTTGGAACCCTGGCCGCGCGCTGCACGCCCATCTCCTCTCCCTCCGGCCCGTCGACGCCGCAGAGTCGCTCTACGAGCTCTTCCTGGCCGAGGCGTCGGGAGGCTACGTCGCCCCACTCTCGGCGACTCGCCGCTCTCCCACGTCCCCCGCCGGCTCCGGCGCAGACTCGAGCAGCCGCCGCTCGCCCACCGGCGTCCTGCTGCAGCAGCTGCTCGCCTCGCTACCAGCCGGTGTCCACATCATCGCGGAGCGCGAGATCGTGTACGGCAGGCTGCTCGGCTCCGGCGGGTTTGCTGACGTTTACAAGGCCACGTGGATCAAGGACCGCGGCAGCTACGGCCTAACAGCGAGCGGCGGCGGAGCCGGCAGCGGAGGCAGCGGCAGCCGCTGTAGCTGCGCCGGCGGCGCTGCAAACGGAGGCGGCAGCGGAGGCGGCAGCGGCAGTGGGAGCAATGCAGGTGGCAGCGGGTGTGGGGCCGGCGCGCCGCGAGAACAGCCGCAGTTGCAGCAGTCGCAGTCGTCCTCCGGGGAGCCGGCAAGCGACAGCAGCGGCGGCGCCTGCGCCGGGGAGGGGCCGGTCCTGCCCCAGGTCCGGCTGGCGGTTGCCGTCAAGCAGCTGCACGCGGCGCCGCAAGACACGCGAGCCATGCGGTCGTTTTGCCAGGAGGTTGGGCTGATGGGCCGGCTCTCGCACCCAAATTTGGTGAGGCTATACGGCGCCACCGTCTCGCCCGACGGCTCCCTCGGCATTGTCACCGAGCTCCTCCCTCGCGCGTCGGTCTTTGCACTCTTGCACCCGAGGGGCGCGCGCGGTGCCGCCGGCGACACCCCGCCCCCCCTCCCCTTGGTATGGCGGCTGCTGCGGGGCTGCGCGCGTGGGATGGCGTACCTCCACTCCCTCAACCCGCCCATCATCCACCGGGACCTGAAGTCGCAGAACCTTCTGCTCGCCGAGGACTACACCTTGAAGGTCGCGGACTTCGGGCTTGCCTGCGAGTACCTCCGGTCGGACCACTCGCAGGCCATGTCGCGCGTCGGCTCGGTGCAGTGGGCGGCGCCCGAGGTGCTCTTGGGCGAGGCCTATTCGCACAAGTGCGACCTCTGGTCCTTTGGGGTCGTGTGCTGGGAGCTGCTCACCGCCGCGATCCCCTTCCACGGCCTCTCCGATGTGACGGTCGCCACCAAAGTTGCACTCGATGGGATGCGGCTGCCGGTGCCCACTGGAGCGCCGCGCCCGCTGCTGCGCCTCATGGTGCGGCGATAGCGACTACTGAACACTGACGGTCCCACCACGCACCGCCACTGCGGCAGCGGCACTGCAAGAGCGGCCCTCATCGCCTCTCGCAGGCGCGCTGCTGGGCTGAGGATCCGCGGAGACGGCCAGAGTTCCGCGCGCTCGTCTCCTTTCTCGAGGATTTGGCGGCCATCGCGGGAGCGTCGCCACCCCCGCCGGCGGCCATCTCCCCGCCTGTGAGCGAGCTGCGCAGCTCGCCGCTCGGCGGGGCGAGTGGACCCGCTGGAGCCGCGCGGGCGCTCACTGAGCCGTCGCAGAGGGAGGGCGGCCGGGAATGCACTCATTCACGGTTGGCTTTCTGTAGGCGCATTTGACTCTTGCGGATCTGAGCGGACCCTAAAGTCGCTCAGCACGCGTCGCTTGGCCCCTCGGATCTGATTGCCCGAGCCTCGTGCTCACAACTACGTTTGGGCAAGCCAGGAGGGCCCGGAGCTCATGTTTGTTTTGCTCGTGGCGTGGGGACATGCCCCCCATCCGTCTCTGTCATCTCTTGCGCGGTGGCACACCTGGGCGTGTCTGCGGTACTCGGCTCTACCTTGGTAAAAAAAAAGTGTGGAAAGCCACTGTGGCAACTGTGGCACTGCGCTCTGCGCCCCTCTGCGCGGGAACTGCGCCTCGTCTATATATTGGTACGGCACATGCTGCGCAACGCCACGTTCGGCGCCAGGAGCGTCGACTCGAGTACCACGATAGCCGCTCATCGGGTCGGCGGCGGGGTCCCCCCCGCGTCCGGTATACTCTTTCCTAATTCGCAGTGTCTGTGCGTCTCCGTCTGAGCCACTGAGGACCCGTGGAGGTCTGTGACTGTGTGTCGTGGCCAACACTGTTGCACAGACGGAGCTTGCACCGACCCATCGGCCATCGCGCATGTAAAACGCGCCCACACGCGCACACGCGCCACGCGCATTTTTTCTCGAGCGCGTAACACGGTGGCGAGCCTAATTGAAATTTTATTGCGATGACGCGACATGACCTTAAACGTTAAACCTACGGCTCTACCTGCAGTCGCACAACCTGTACCTGTATCGCTATCGGAGACCAGCGAAAATCAAAATTCCATTCCCTGGGAAGGGAATCCCTGCGCCAAGAGACCAACGGACCGAGGAGACCCTCTCGCCCTCGGCGCCCTCAAGGGCGCCTCGCCTCTATGCCACGGCGAGAGACTCGAGCGTCTTGAGGATCACGGAGCGCTGCTCCTTGTCTAGCGCCGAGAAGGTGAGGTCCGTGCTGCCCATGCCGCAGAGAAGGCCGCCGCTCAGAAGCTTGATCACGAAGCGCGCCGCATCCTCGTTCTCCTCCTCGATGGCGGCAGCGGCGGTGAACTCGTCCTTTGACCACCGGTTGGTAATGTTGCCCGAGGGATCCTTGGTGATGATCTCGTTCGGCGAGATCACGAGCTTGCGCGGGTCTGCGCGAGGGAAAGGCGGCGTCCATGGGCGGAAGAGTGAGGGCGTTTGAGGGACGACGCGCGCTCGGCGGTGTGGTGGAGGGGATGGGGGGGGGGGGGGGTCCGCTCCCTTTCCTTTCTCTTCTTTTCCCCTTTTTGTCCTTTTTCTTCTCCTTTTTTTCTCTCCCCCCCTTGCTTCTCCCCCCTTTCCTTCTCCTTTTCTCTTTTCCTCCTCCTTTCTCTTCCTCTCCTCCCTCTTTTCTTCGTTTTTTTTCTTTCTCTTCCTCCCCTTCTCGTCTCTTCGTCCTCCTCTCCTCCCTCTCTTCCTCTCGTTCCCTTCTCTTCCTCTCTCCTTCCTTTCTTCCTCCTTTCTCTC